CTCCTGGACATTGGTCCCAGAGCTGCACCTGAGCTGTGCCCTGTCCTTGGCATTATGTGATGCCTGTGGATGGGATTTGCCCAGGATGCTTTTCAGAGCCTCTCAAGGGGTCTGTGCCGCTGGTAGCTGGCACTGCACAGGGCTTTTGTGACTTGTGGCTAATCGGAAGCTGCGATTCTATCTTGTGCAATCCAAACACTGCGAGTGGGAAAAGTTGTGAACGTCCAGTCTCATGTTTCACAAACCCCATGGGGTAACCAGACTGACTCGGGAAAGGAAGAGAACTGGTTAAGGGTTTAGTTGCTGCTCTCAGCGTTCTGGGTGTGCAGCTGGCAGGCAGGGATGGAGAGGCTGCTGGCACCAGCACCAGCGCTGGCTGTGACCTTCTGGGTATGGCCAAAAGTGGTGTTGGCTGCTTGTGGCTGCAGATGCTGCCCTGCCCTTGGCCTCGGCGATGTAACAGAGGTGGCACTGCGCTGTCACCAGGCTGTTACCAGGCTGATATCCTCAGTTCTGGCAGGCTGGGCTGGAAAAACCTCAGCGTTTCCACTGCCTTCAGTCCAAGCTGCACCCCCGGTGTGGGTGACCTGGAGGCAGCACCAGTGACCAGGACCATTCAGCTGGAGGCAGGAAGCGCAGGGTGGGAATCTGGGGTGGGATCACAACCCGAACACTCTGTGGTCCCACCACAAACCCCAGTGCTTGACAGGACCCCAGTGCCCACCAGGCACGATCTGAGCCCTCCACCAGGAGCTCCACCAGTGTCCCTGCCCATGGCAGGCAGGTGGAACTACATGGTGTTCAAAGTCCTTTCCAGGTGAAACCGTTCTGGGACTCCATGATTCTATAAACATCTTTCAAACAGCTCCGGCGTGCGCGGGGCTCACCGGGCTGGCTCCGGGCTGTACCACCGGGCACCGGGCACGCTGCCCGCCCTGCCCGGGGCACCGGGCCCAGCAGAGACCCGGCCACGTGGGCCTGGAGACCGTGAGACCGGCACACCCGGGACCGCTCCGGGGCTGCGCTGCCGGCCGGGTCCTGCTCCCGGGGCCGGGTCCTGCTCCCGGGGCCGGGTCCTGCTCCCGGGGCCGGGTCCTGCTCCCGGGGCCGGGTCCTGCTCCCGGGGCCGGGTCCTGCTCCCGGGGCCGGGTCCTGCTCCCGGGGCCGGGCCCTGCTCCCGGGGCCGGGTCCTGCTCCCGGGGCCGCCCCGCCCCGCCGGTTCCGTGTCCGGGGCTGCCCCCGCCGCCTCCCGCGCCCGTCCCCGTTCCGGCGCACCTGGGCGCTGAGCTGGTTGAGGTTGTGCATGTCGGCGCTGACCGCCTCCGGCACCGGCTCCCGGGTGAAGTTGAGCAGCCCCATGGCGGCGGCGGCGGCGGCGGCTCCGCCCGCCCGGCCCCGGCTCCAGCCCCGGCCCCGCCGCCTCAGCCTGAGCATTGGCGGCCGCACTTTCCGCACCGCCACCGCCCGCTCCGCGCTCACGGCATCGGGGGCCCGGCCGGCACAGGCAGCGCCCGGCGCGGCCCCGTGGCCCCCGCAGCGGGACCGGGGGTCGGTGGAGCCGGGGGCTGGAGAGCTGGCTGGCAGCTGAGTACTGTACGATTTTTTGCTGTATAAAAACCTTAAAAAAACCCCAAACAAACAACAAAAAAGAACTTAAAACCATGGTTTATAAGGTGAATAATGGGGTTTTTATTTTATTTTTGTTGTTGTTGTTGCTGCTGATTTTTCTTTGTTGTTTTTTTTCGGTTTTTTCCTCCAAAAATTCCACTTGGGAGCTGAAACTTCGGTTTGCTTTTCCCTCTCCGACTGCTGTTCCCAGCGCTGCTCTCTGCCTAGCTCGGGGTGATGGGTGGCCCAGGGACCTGCAGCCCACATCCCAGGACTGGGCTCCGTGGAATGGACAGATGTTGGGCAAAGAAGCAGCAGCCCATGGGCAGAAATGCCCAGATGTCCATGGGTCAGGGTTCCGTAGGGAGATTTCAGCTCGATTCTCGACATAATCCATATGCAGGAGGTCTCCTTGACTCAAAGATGTGTTGTAGGAAGGCAGGGGAATTGCCTTCTCATGCTCTGTTACACAGTCTTGTTTCTGTTCAGTCTTGGGAGGAAGGCCTTGGTCCAAGAATATTGAAACTTGATTTATTCCTGCAGAGGACAATGGAACTGATTCCATCCTGAAGGACTCTCTTGCCTAAAATTGCTGTTTCACAGCTTGCCTTGAGCAGGAGCAGGAGCTCCAGGATTCCACTATCAGTGTGAACGGGTCTGATCCATTTTATCAGGGAAGGTGTTCCCTGTCTGTCAGGCCAGAGGACAGTGTGTAAAAACCCTTGTGGAAGGTAGAACCTCGACAGTCCGCAGGTCTTCTGGTTTATTACTGACACTTGCAATTGCAAATGAGAACATAGGAAATTTCATAGTGCTTTCATTGTGAGACTACCCCAGCAGTGGTTTATAAACAAGGAGATAAGCGGCTAAGTACCACTAATCATGGGGAGTTAAGAGATATTTCCTGATTGTCTGGATGGAAATTACTTCCAACGTCCTTTTTTCCCCCCTCTACCTCCCAGACCAGGTGGGAAAGTTTCTGTTTCATAGATCCAAGGTGGGACTGTGCACCTCCTCGATTTTGGGGGTGAAAAAAATTGATCCTAAACATTTAGGACACCTTTAAACAAGGGACGTATATTGGAACAATGTATTCTGTATATATTTTGGAACAAAATATATATTCTGTATATATATTGGAACAATGTACTCTGTATTAATTTCTGTGGTGAACCGTCCAAGTCAGCATGTTTAAACCATGGGAAATCCTTGCGTCTAAAAATGAGTTAATCTGAACTAAAACTCCTCGAGGGAATGGGATGCAGGGGGTAGCATTGGATACCAGTATGTGCGAACACAGAATTCCTCTATGGCTTTAAAATGCTGCATACAGCCCTATGCAATTTTCCCCAAGTGTAAATTAGCAGTTGCAGTTAATTATCGCACATTTTCACAGCTGCCGCGTTTCCCCCTGCACTCTGTGTCTCAAAACTTGAAGCCAGGAAGAGTGAGCCTTGTGCCTGGTTTGCAGCCGAGGTCAGCCGTGCAGGAGCAGTCTGTGGCGGATCTTTCCTTGCCCGTGTCTTCCCGGGGTGATGCTTTCGCAGCTAATTAAGGGCGCTCTGGGTGCGCGCGTGTGCGAGCACGCCGCAGCTCCGGCAGGACGGTGACGCCAGCGATGTTAAACAATTTCTCAGGCAGAGAACCAAATTCTTGAGGAAAGTTGAGTGACGGGATCCAAGAAGAAGAAGAGTCTCGGCTGACGTACGTGATCGCAACATCCTGTTCAAGCAATGTCCAGGAAATTCGGTGGTCCTTCCTCCTGGGCTGACATGTGAGTGCCATGAGCCCAGCCGTGGCACGGGCGGCTCTGCGCTGCCAGAACTTACTCAGTTCTCCAACCAAGAAGGATTTACTCGAATAAAAGAGCAGGTTGCAGGGTGATGGCCGTGGTTCTGGGGGTGTCTGGCGGGGGATGGTGCTCAGCGTGCCGGGCAGAGCCCCAGGGCTGCCGTAGGGGTGCAGGCAGCCATCAGCCCATGGGTGCTCCTGCCAGGCCATTCTCATGCAGAGCGCGTTGCTGATGGACTCATCAGAGCAGAGGACAGGCCAAGGGCAGCAGTTTGGAGTTGCAGGTATGTGCCCTTGTTCACCATAAATACCAAAGTAAAAACAGCAGCCAGAAAGCAATGGGGACATACACATACACAGGAAAAGTCTGAAAAGGGCGCTCTCCAAACCAGAGGATCCATGTGCCCTACTTGAGATGCATTTTTCAGCTTCATTTCACATGTCAAACCTGAAAAGCTTCCTCAGCACTCGGAGTGTGTTACCCCTGGAAGGTTCCTTATTAGGCATTCCCTAGAGATCACATCCTGGGGTGTCCCCATCCTGTTCTCTGATGCCATTATCTATGCCAAGCTCTCCCAGCCCTTTCCACTTGCTCCCAGGCCGGCCTTGCAGCTGAAGTAGGAAACATTGCCTGCGTTTGCCAGCCTGAGAAAGGCCTGGAAAAGACAAGAGTGCAAAAGCCAGGGGGCCTTTCACCCAGCTGGTCAGAGCCCATCTACTCTCTGGTGTTCTGCCCACCTGCAGTGTCTGCCTTGGGCTGGAAGAATTAAGAGAACATCTCCAGACACAGTCTGAGGGATGCTGTGACTCCTCCTGGCTGCCCAACTGAAACTTCTGAGGAGTTAGTTCTGTCTCCTGGGATAAATGAGATCTTTGAGACCAGGATTTCAATTTCTTCTGCAGTTTAATGCCCCATCACTCTCCTCACCCTTTGGTCCCACGCAGACACTGCTGCAGGAAGCTGCCAGCCTTTCGTGCAGAGGTGGAGCAGGGCTGGGAGCTCCACTGCTGGGCTCTGGCACACTCCTGCCTTGCAGCCACAGGCTAAACACTCCCTCTTTCCACCGGCTCCAGTGCTCCTGAGCAGGGACTGTAATCCCTGACCCGGGCAGGCAAGAGCAGCTCTGGAGCTGGCCTGGAGGGAGGGGGCTCTGCAGGCAGCCACCCCCTGGGAGCAGCGTTCCTCTGGATAAAAGTATATGTGCTGAGGAGGGTGCTTTGGGGAGGCCTCGTCACTTCAGATTAGGCTGTAGCAGGCGTATCCTGTTTTCTAGGAAAAAGAGGATTTTGTGGCCAGCTTTGTTAGAGAGGCATTGAAGATTTTTCTTTGTGTGCCTTGGCGTTTGAAGTTTGCAGGCGGTAGCTGCAGACTTTCTAGATGTTCTGGTTACACGGATGACACTTATTTTTAACCTTATTTTTATTAGAGGTTTGTATCATGTGGGCCTGGCCAGCCCACAGGAAGGGCTAGAAACTTCTTGTAGGAGGGATAACATTTCCTATCTCTGTGTAAACAGAAATTCCCCCCAGATGGGAAAAGCTAGCCCAGCTGTAAGGCAGGCTGGGGCTGTATTCCCACATGTGGCAGCAGGATGAGGCTCTCCCACAACAGGAACAGACCTTGCTTCCAGCAGCCAGAGCCCTGCTGAGTGGCACAGCTCTCCCCAGACTCAGGAGAGGTGCCAGGAACAGGAGACCTGCTCTGGGGAGCCGTGGTGAGGAGTGACTGGCTGCTGAGAGCTGTGATGGAGCAGCACTGGTGGAGCTGGTGGAGAGGCAGGCGGCCAGCACAGGGCTGGGGTGAGGGCTCAGACAATGAAGATACTCATGGAAGAGGAGGAGACATCCTGTGGGACGTGCTCTGATGGGGTCTTGCAGTGAAGAATGCTGTGCATTGAGAATGACATTACTGTGGGCTGGGAAAGAGCCTCTGAGCTGTGTGTACATCAACATGGGAACCCCAAAGCCTGAACGCAGCAGGAGCCTCGCTGCCGACTTCGGTGGAAAGAGAAGTTCCTCCTGCTCTCAGCCCCAGCTTGCAACATGCCAAGCTGATTTAATGGTGCTGGTGCTCCTCCCTGCCTGCAAGAAGACTAAACAAGTGCTCAGCCGTTACTGGGATGTGGAATCTGGGACCCACAAGATCCGGAGGTGACAAGGTTACACTGCTGACAGCTGTAGGTAATGGCACATTTATTTATTTGTGGAGGATCTCCAGGAACGCTGCTGTGATACGTGGAGTAGGTCCCAATCAAACCCTTGGGTGCAAAGCAAAAGATGGGAGGTGGTGGCAGCCAGAGCAGAGCTCTGGGCAGGGGGTGGCATTAGTTTGCCTGGCAAGGGTGACAAAGGTGAATTTTAGGAAGAAATTAGAAGTGGGAGAACTGGGTGGACAGAGAGGAGCTGGGCCTGGTGCCATACCCCAGGTGTATTTTAGAGAAGGCACTGGCTGAGCAGCCTTCAGTGAAGAGAAGGATTTGGGGTTGGGAGCGAGGAGTTATGTGTGGAAGAGCTGGCATGGTTGCTGGGAAGCCTGTGAAAAATGAGGATTCACTGTCAATGTGAATGGATGTTGCCAGTCCTGACTGTGTGACAGTGACAGGGAATGGCTCCTTCAGCTGGTTGGTCACTGGCTCCATGAATTTGAGATGCCAGCCAGCCAGATGAGGGAATGGTTCTTGCTGGAATGACATTTTGCAGAAGCTGGGCAGCCCAGCCTTGCTGCCAATGGGAGTTCCTCCATCATGGGCAGGGATGTGTCTGTGGCACAGTGTGCAGAGGACGTGCTGCTTGTGCCCAGGGGTGCTGAGGGACCCCCCAGCTCTCCCTCCCTGCTCACATGAGCCCTGGCCAAGCTGCCTGCTCCTTGCAGCTGCTCCAGCTCTGGAGTGGAGGAGCTTTGCCCACACAGCCATGTCCCATCACTGGTCTATGCTGGGAAACCACAGGGCTGGTGGGAAACAGTGAAGGAGCTGCTTTGGTACTCTTCTGGCAGAGACTGCTGATGCCAGCCCTGGCTCAACAGGAGAGACTGGAATGTGTGGCAGGAGCCTGGATATAAAATCTCTGTAAAGGCACCTTGTTTCCCATGAAATGACGTACACATTCTCTTGATTGTTATGAAATAAACTCCCAGCATCTCTCTGTGGTGTCTGTAGCAGAGACAGGAAAAGGATAAAGCTTTGGCTCACCGTCTGCCAGAGCTGCTTTGTCTGGTACCAGACCTTTCCCACAAGCAGTTTGCAGAGCCTTGCTCTCCTGAATTAAATGATAACTGAGGGGCAGAGAGGGAAAGAGGGCGTTTCGGCTGGCGGGAGATTGATGGCAGGTCAGGGAGGCCAACAGCAGCAGGAAGGTTTCCGCAGAAAGGGAGAGGAACCCGTGGATGCTGGAAGGGCTGATTGCACCCTCACAGTGCCCTGGAAACTCTCACAAGCACAGCTCTCAAAAGCATTTCCCTTTCCTTAATCTGGGAAAACAAATGGGAGTAAAATCTATTTGTTTGTTTTAATCTACTCGCCCGAGCTGCGAATTGGCTTTAGTTTATGTGGTGCATGTTTGTTTGAATGGTGATGTTTAGTATCCCCAGGGGCTTATTCAGAGTGGGTTTCTCAGCTCCTCCTGTTCACTTGCAGAGCATTTTTTACATTTGCTGCCAAATTTTTCATGCTTGTGTTCTGCAGGGATGGAGGTGTGGTTTGGGGGAACCTGCTGTACGGGCCTGGGGCTGGTCCTGCAGATTTCAGACACTTTGGCTAACTAAGATTTCTTCCTGACCTTGAAAGCTCATTTCTATCACACCAGGATAATCATATTACTTTTCTTACTGTTATACACTTTTCTACTGAATCTTGAAGTAATAACAGGCAAGCAGGGAAGATTATACCCCACGTGGACTCCGGATGCTTTGTCTGGGGCAGGAGAGGCGCGGGCTGTGTCCCTGGCCCCGGGACAGCCCTGCAAGTGCCTTGCCTCTGGACGGGAAAGGGAAAGAACAAACAAAAACTGAATGTGAAACTTGTGAAGCTTTGTCTGCAGGGTTGTGCTGCATGGGGCAGTGTGGGTGCTGCTGGAAACCGGTGGGCAGAGCTGGCTCAGTGGGTGAGGGCTCTGCCCGGCCCTGGGGTGCCAAGGGAGTCTCCTCTGCCTCGGGGACTGAGCTGCGTGGGGCTCCGAGGGCCGAGCCCCGGAGAAATGATGAACCCTGGGGGATGCTGGGCACAAGAGGTGATACCAGGACGCCGGTGGGTACCAGGGGGTGGGGAGCCCCGGTAGGGTGTGAGACACCGGAGGAATGTGGAGCCTCCGGAGAGGGATGCTGAGCCCCGCGGGGGTGATGCGGAGCACCGGGCAGGGTATGCGGGGAGCCGGGGCAAGGGGAATGTGGGGCGCCAGGCGGTGGTCCCAGGCGATGTGGGGCAGCGGATGGGACACACTGGGGCACCGGGGGGTGTGGAGTCGCGGCGGGGAGGATGTGGCGCCCCGGGGGATGCGGGCCCTGGGGGAATGCGGGACCCCGAGGGCTGCGCGCCCGATGGGCTTGGGGGGCCCGGCGGGTGCGGTGGTGCTGCGGGCCCCGCGCTCCCCTCCCCCGCCATGGGGCGGCGAAGGAGGAGGAGGAGGAGGAGGGGCTGCCCAGCACGGGCAGGGTTAAAACGCCATGTAATCGGAGCGCGGGGCTGTCGGGGGCCGGCCGGGGCGCGGGCAGCGGCGAGCGGCGGCGCGGCCCCGCTGGACGGCGCGTCCTGCCGCGGCGCAGGTGAGCGCTGGACCGGGGGCACCGGAGGGTCCGAGCCGGAGCCGTGGCACATCCTCGTGGGCGGCTTTGTTGTCCGCGGCGGTGGCGGGGGACAATGAGGCGGGAGGGGAAGGCGGCACCGGGCGCACCGGAGCGCCGGGGGGGGAGCGCCCCGGCCGGTCTGGCGGCCCCGGTGCCCGGTAACCGGGGACTGGCGGCTTCGCCCCGGGGGCTGGGACAGGGGGCAGGGGGTGGTGGGCCCGACGGCCACTTGTTGCCGGCACTCGGCTCTGGGGCGTGTTGTAGGGATCGTTGCTCCCACAGCTTCGGGCATGGTCCCCTAAGTCCCCCTGGTCCCGCCCACCCCTCCGGTCCCGTTGCAACTTTGGGAGTTTCCCGCGGAAGCCCCGGGGGCGCGTCCCGGGACTGTCACGGCGGGGCCGGTGCGGGACCCCCGCGACCCGCGGGGCCGGGCCGGGGCTGAGCCGGGAGTGCGGCGGGAGGGTCCCCTCGCTGGTGCGGCGAGTGGTGGCTGCGGGGCGGGGGTGGCTCGGGGGGGCCGGGGTCCCCCTGCCCGGCTCCATCGTCCCGGGCAGCGCCGCCTCCAGGCCGGGGGCACCGTGCGGAGCTGCCGGGGGTACCGGGACACGGTGGCGCTGCTGCCCCGGGCCGAACACCTTTGTTTTCGGTTCTCGGTCGGGGATCTGACAGCGCATCTTCCCTCTCTGTTGGCAGGAAAAGAGGTTCCCGGCGGCGCCTCGGGCGCGAAGCCTCCCCGGGGCCGATCCGGAGGGACGGGGTGGCCGGAGCAGGTATCGACCGGAGGGCTGTGCTGGCATCCGCCTCCTGCCGGGCCCGCAGGGAGCCTCCGGGGAGGGGAGATCAGCGGAGAAGAAGGGATGAAGCTCTTCGGCGTGGCCCCAGCGTGGGGCACAGGTCCCGGGAAGCCGGGAGAGGGGAGCGGCGGGGGGACCCCTTGGGGAGTGGTGGTCCTGGGGCAAGAGGTGGTCTTGCGACGACCTCCCTCGGAACGGGAGAGGAGGGCAAGGAGGGAGCGGCTGGACAGTGCTGCCCTGAGCAGTACTAGTACTCTCCTTTCCTGCCTCAGTTTCCAAATTTTTAATCAGCTGAGGAGTGAGGCCGGGTATCCCAGTCCCGCCTCTGGGGCTGCACGGGGCTGGATGGGCAGCCGTGGGGACAGCGAGGTGTCATTGTCATCTTTGGTCCTCTTGTTCAGGGGGAGAATGAAGCGGTGACGACTCCGGACAGAAGCCTGGCCACCTCTGAGCGGACCTCACCTGTGCACCAGAGCCCCCAGAGCCCCCCGAGCCTCCAGCCCTGCCCGCAGCCCCTGCCCCAGGCCGCGGGGCTCGGCGGGATCCCAGCGGGATGAACATGGTAAAGAGCCCGGAGCCGCTGGAGCAGCGGTTGGCGGGGATGGTGGCTGTCCGGGAGACGTCTCCAGCCTGGTCTGCGCTGGGAGAGGAGGGGCCGGTTCGTGTTTTGTTTCTTTTCTTTAACCCAGCTTTGCTGCGAGGCAGCGGGGAGAGCCGGGGTGGGCGCCGAGGGCTGCGGGGGGAGCGGAGCAGGGCAGGAGGAAACCGGGGGAAATGGAGGGAAGTGCCGGAGCGGGAGAGCAGAGAGGCCAGACACAGGAAGCGGGCAGGGGGAGCTTGCCCTTCGCCCCCTGCCCTTCCCAACGAGCACATCTGCGAAATCGGCGCCTTTCTTACGGAACTGCCAACCCAGCAACTCCTTTCTTCCCAGGATTAGAGGGAGATGTTCGGTTTGGGGAGACTTAAAGGCCATTAGTGTGCACCACAGCCCAGAGCCAGCCCGGCCATTAGGGTCCTTTATTTCTTTTTGTTATTCAAACAGGGCTTGGGCGATGGCTCCATCCCAGCCATGGGTAAAGCTTCCCTCCAGCCTTTTGATATGCATGCCCCTGTCTGGAGGCAAAGTCCGAAACCTCCCCACCTCCTGGGGACATGCACCTGATAACAGGGCGGCCTCTTTTCTCAGCAAGGAAAACTGAAACCTGCCTGGGCCGGGCTGGAGGAGCAGCCCCGGGAGCAGGGGCAGGGGTCCGGTCCAGAGCACGGCCCGGCCAGGTGAGCCCTGCCCACCCTGCCCTCTCTGCCAGGTGAGCCCAGCCATCCTGCCCACTCTGCCTGCTCTGTCCGCTCCAGGGTGGCCAGCAGTCGTGGCCAGGCAGGGACCAGAATTCTCTCTAAGCAGTTAATGCTGTGGCATGGTCTTTAACCAGTTTGGCAAATCTTAAAGAAACTGGTATTGCAAAATGAGGGCGGGCTGTGGAGTCAGCGGGTTCATTGTCTTCTCGGGTGGGATTTGGCTGCAGGGCACGTCCTGGTCACCAGGCAGTGCCGGGGCCGCCGCTGGTGCCGGGCTCTGGGGGAGCTTTCGGCCATGGAGCTGGAATTGTGCATTATTTGCCTCCTCATGGATTCTCCTCTCTACATGGAGTGCATGACTATGGAGCCCCGGGTGTGTTTGCAGGGCGCTGGGCAATGCAAACACTGCAGGGTTGGTCTCCCCTGAGCCAGCCCATGTGAGGGCAGTGCTCTGTTTCTGATTATTAATGCCCTGAGTGTAATGCTGGTGTGTTTTTGCGAGGGGAGGCGAGGACAAAGAACCAAGCCTTCCTCCTGAGCAGCAGGAGGGGGTGAGCTCACAAGGATGTGGCTCCTGCAGGGGACCCTGGGTGGCCAGTGGGGCAGCAGGATGGGCTCCTGTGGCTTCAGCACTTGGTGCAAACAGCAGGAGAAGGGGTGGGAATTGCAGTCGTGCTGCATAGGTTTAGGATTTTGGGAGAGGCACTTTAATGAGCAGTTTATGCCATGGTTTGCTGTTCCCTTTCCTGTCAAAGGATGGTGACAATGTCCTCAAGTGATCTTGGGCAGTGCAGCTGGAGAAGGGCACGGACCAAGCAGGGAACCAAGCAGGGAGCTGACGTGCCTGAGCTCACGGCAGGGTCTGTGTCCCGTGCAATGGGCCCAAAGAGCTGTGACCTGTGGCTCTCTGCTCTGCCAGCAAGCAGTTCTTTCCAAAGGGATGATAACCCTTTTTTCCCCACTTTACAACTGGAATAAAGGCCATGGGGGAGCTCCCTAAGCACGTGGCAAAGCTGAGCGTGGGGCATCAGGTGTTCAGTCCTGGTAAGACCTGGCCACTGTGTCACCTCAGCCCTTCACCTCCCCAGTGCTGGGCTGACAGCACACCCTTGCCTGGCGTGCTGGACATAAGGCAGTCTGGGGCTGAGGAAGGAAAAGCCATTTTGAAGTGCAAGTTTGAACTTCCTGGACTCAGGTTCCTGACAAAGGAATGAATGCAGAGGTTATCTGAGAGTCTCAGTGGAGTTTTGTGGGTGCAGATGTTTGGGAGGGCTGGGAGATATCCTTGCCTGCTTCTGTCCTCCCTAAATCTTACCTGCCTCATGCAGCTCCATCTCCTTGTACCCTCTGGTTCAGATCACCCTTATGCTGGGAGAGCAGCCTCCCTGTAGGGATTCCCAAGGGACATTCACTTTTTGGTGAGTTTTGCTGGTTTTGGTGGCAGCATTGCTGCCAGGCATGGCTGCTGCTGCTCTGCAGCACTTTGGGCTGGGGAGGGGGAGCAGACCAGGAGGAGCTGGCCCTGACCTGGCTGTGCTGTGCCGTGCTGGATTCTGCATCGTGGAGCATCCGGGGCCATGCGGGACCGTCCGCCTGGGCCGGGGGCAGGCGGCGAGTCTGGGCAGCTCCCAGGAATTGTTTGCTGGTCTGGAGCAGATGTGCTGCAGCACAGGGATTTCTGCACACAGCTGTGGGGGGTTAGCAGCGTCTGGTGCCATTCCTCTCCTCCTCCCTTTGTCCAGGGGGGAGGCAGTGTGTGCACCGAGGTTTCTGCCTCTGGAGGTGGGTGCTGGACACCTGTTTTCCTTTGTGTTTGAGCATTACCAGGTTTTTAACTCTGCCCTCTGCGTCCAAAACATCAAACTCCAACTGGTCTTTGTTTGTCGGAGGTGCTGACAGATGATTTCAAAGCAGAAATCTCAATTGTTAGGGCAGTGGTTGGAGGTGACGCAGAACATGAGTGACACAGAAGGGGTGGTGGGCTGGAGCTGGGGTCTCCCTGGGGTCTCTGGGGCTGAGGGGGGTGTTCCTTTGCCTTCCTAACAGGGCTGTAGGTGGGCAAAGCCCTGTGAGCTTCTCAGCTCTTGAGTTCCGTGCTGCTGAAATGACTGTGCTGCTGGAGAGGCAAGTTGCAGCACAGACCCATAGCCTGGCAGTGAGGCAGCAGTTCATGGCATCCGGGTGCCTCTGGGAGAGCTGGGAGCTTCCACTTTGGAAAACAGGAGCCAGGGAGGGCACCCAAGGGAAGGCAGCAGAGCCCCAGCTCTGCAGGGACACCATGGCAGGGGCTGCCAGCATGCACAGGCCCCTGCTCTGCCCCTTCACTCCGGGGCAGGGCAGCTGAGGCCAAGAGCCGGGGGCAGGAGGAGTTTTCTCCCTCGGAGAGTTTAATGTGGGCTCCAGGACTTTGCCCCCCGTGGCGGCTGTGCCTGTCCTGCTGCTGAGGAACAGCCCACCCCCCTCTGGGCGTGCTGGGCAGCTGGAATACAGGAGGCTGCTGGCCCAGGGGTGGGCTGGCCCCAGGGGTGGGCTGGCCCCTGGTTTCTACAGGGTGGCCTCCAGACAGGGTCTGTCTGAGTGAGCTGGGGCTCGGCAGCTCAGAGCCAGCTTACAGATGTTGGGGCAAAATCTGGTGTTCCCTAAGGATAAGTGGGTTGCATCTGGGACCTTTTTTAGATGGAGCTGGTTGACCTTTAGGGCCACCACATTTATGTGCAAGTGCTGTTTATTTCCCAGGACCTTTAGATGCATCTCCAGTCAAACCTCTCTGCTAAGGGCACAAAATTAAAGCTGGCTCAAGGACCTCACTCTGTCTGCTCTGCCTTCCCTGGGGCTTCCTTGCACATCTGAATTTCCTTTCCGTTCTGGTTTCTACAGGCGACCATCAAAAAGGAGAAGAGCCACGGGCAGGATGAGGCAGACTGTAGGGCAAAGCTGATCCTCATCAACGGGGACAATGCCTCTGGCGTTGTCCTGGAGGCGAATGGGAAGCCCAGCACTCCAGGTGAGGGTCACCACACTGAGCCCTGAGTGCTCCCAGGGTGCACAGGGTTGGGGACGTCACAGCCTCTGTCCCAGGCCTTGCTCTGTGGCCACAGTCCCCCATGACCCCACTGGATTTCTGTGATCCAGGAGCACATCCAGGCAATGCTGTGGTTGGGAACGGGTGCCACACTGCCATGCTGGCTCTGCCCCTCAATAGTTTGACCCCCATGGAGTGAGGAAAGCAGGGGAGCCCCTCCAGCCTGAGGGGTGCCATTGACCTGAGGGGCTGCATTGCTGCTCCTGGGATTCTCCAGTCAGTATTCCCAAATCCCACCTCCTGGGTTCACAAGGTCTTGCTTTAAATGACCTGGTGACAAGCCCAGAAGAGCTGGCATGTGGCCTCCTTGTGCCTCTTTCAGGAACAAGGAGTAGATAAGAATGTCCCCATGCTTGCTGCTAGTCCCTCCCAGTTTTAGGGACAGGTGGGTGATCTGGGGCTGTGGTGCCACAGTGGGAGCCCTGGGGACACCACTTGTCTCTGCCTCCAGCCACGTTTCTCTGAGATGAGCTTTTGGTGTCTCCAATTTGTGATGTGGGAGCAGTGGGAGGCTGGGGCATGCAAGGACAGGTGGGCTTGCAGAGCCTGAGGCTGCTCTGTCTTGTGTCTGCACAGATTCCAGGGGCCTGGGGCTGCTGCCCCTGAAGAAGGAGAAGAACAGCAATGGAGACCTCTCCAAGAAGGACCTGGCCTGGCCACTTGATCTGCCAGTGCAGAGGGTAAGTGAACACCTAGGGTGCTTTTTGGGGGCTGTGTTTTTGGGTGGCATCTGGTGCCAGGATCCTCATCTCTCCCTCTGAGCTTCTCTTGTGCTCAGTGTCAGAGGAACAGTCCAGTGATGAATGCAATACCCACAGTGTAATGTTTTAATTTTTAAATTCCTGCTTCTCATGATACAGCAGCAGGAGGGGGTGGTGTGGGATGCAGCAATGCCCATTACAAGTTGCAGCAGCCTAATAAAATATGCTGATATTTTCTTTAAAGTCTTGGTTGTATTAATACACTGAAGCATCTCATGCCTCCCACTGTTGGGGTGAGCTGGACCCCAGTTTCACCCACCGTCTTTTGTTGATTAGATTGATAAACCTCCAGGGTCTGGAAGCATTTTTGCCTTCTGGCTTTATTGTTTTGAGTTAGAATTAACACCCAAGGTTGGAGATCTGCCTGAGATGAAGCAGCTTCCAAAAGAAAGATCCATAAATCCAGTGGGTGAAAATTGAGCTTTCTCACTGTTTAGTTTGGGGGCTCTTCACTGCAAAGTCTCATTTAATTTTGAATCTCTGTTGTGCTGGGTGCAGGCAGCAGGTCTGGGCTGGACTGTAACTCTGACCACCAGGGAAAGGCTGCCCTGGGTGCTGCTGCAGGGCTGCTGTGGGAAAGAGCACCCATGGGAGTGTGAGAGCATCCAGGGTGTGTCAGTGGGTCCATGTCTGGGATGGGTGCTCTGCCATGGTCTGTGCTTCTCCTGGCATCCCCATCCTCCCAGCTGTGGCTCCGGCTCTTTGCCATGCTGGGTGCAGTGGGCTGCACCAACGGGGCTCCTGAGCCTTGCAGAGATGCTGTGGAGCAGAAAGTTGCCCAAAGGGGCTCAGCACAAGGTGCCTCCAGCATCCATCTGTCTCCTCTCACCTTCCCCAGGGCACTGCCTGTGGTGCTCAGCCCCATGAGGCACAGGCTGTCCCTGTGTCCCTGTGTGAGGAGGGCACCCATGCTGTGGCAGGGTGTTCTGGTAGCAGGTGCAGCCCTGGGGCAGGGCTGGGTGGGAGAGCAGCTCAGGCAGACGCCCACCCTGTGCCTCCTGTTGCAGGCAGGGCAGACCCAGCAGGAGATGCAGCTCAAGGACCCAGCATGCAGTGTGGAGGCTCTCAGGGAGATGCCAACTCCTGTGAGGGTGAGGGCCTGGCAGGGCCAGGGCTCCCCTGAGGCTTCCCTTGGCCTCCAGGGCCCTGCACTGCTGCTGTGCCCTGGTCAAGTGTCTTCAGAGATGGTGCAGCCCATCCCCGTGCCTCAGTTTCCCCTGTGAAGGGGTGTGTTGGTGCTGTATTTTGCCCCTGCTATAAACTGGGTGCATTGAGCACCCTGGGGTGGATTTGGGACAAGAAAATGGGAGGGGGCAGTGGTGCACCATTTGCTCTGGGTCTGGCAGGTAAAAGCAGAGCAGTTTTCCTGCAGATGTCCCCATTAAGGGCTCTCCTCTCTATTATTCATGGCTGCAGTGGTGCCCTCACTCCCTGGCTCCCCCTCTCTGATCCCCACTGCAGGGCTGGGGTGATGTGGGGATTGGGGGTGATGTGGAGCAGGTCTCTGCTCTCCCTGTCCCTCTCCCTGCTGCACTCACCCTCCTCTGCCTCTGCCATGCAGAGCTCCAGGCGTCGCTCTGCCGTGCCCACACCCGTGACCATCGACCTGACGGAGGAGGACTCGCAGGACTCATCCCAGAGCAGCAGCACACTCTCGGGGAGCAGCTCCCAGGAGGGCCAGAACGGCTCTGCTGACCTGGGGGCCGAGGAGGCAGAGAGCAGAGACATGGGCATGGCACTGGAATACCAGGTATGGAGGGGCTGAGCTCTGCTCCTGCACCCACGATGGTGTGGGGCAAGGATGAGCCTCTGTGACTTGTCCCAAAACAAACTTGAAAACCTCAGTGCTGTTCCTCCAACCCAGCCTTCCCTGCATGCCTGATGGTGCCAGGCTGTCTCCATCTATCAGGCTTGGATGCTTTGGGGACCAGCCCTGCCAAGCTGCCACTGGTGCCACACGTGGGCCCCCCGAGACACACATGAGTGTGCCGTGCCCTGCTCAGACAGGCAGTTGCATGTGCAGAAAACATTTCTGTTGGGGATGCTGGAGAGAACCGAAGCTGCTGGGGCTGCAGAGCAGGATTTGGCGCCTGCGGGCCGCAGGGCAGGGCCCCAGACTTGCAGGAATTGGGCAATTGCATCTTGCTGCATAATTAAGTATGTAATTGCAGAGCAAAGCTGGGAAGGAGGGCTCTGCAGGCAGAGAGGTGACTTTTCTCCGTGTGAGGTTCCTTGCTGTGCACAGCACCCAGCGTGGCCTGTGACTGTCACACCAAAATTCTTGGCTCCTTTTTCCTTCTGTTTTTTTGCTCTGCCACATGTCCTGCCCTCCCCAGCAGGACCAAGAGGAGGGTGGGTGGGTGTCCTCTCCCTGGAGTGCAGCCACACAACACAGGCTGAGCTGTGAGCCCTGTGAAGGGACTGCCCTGTGCCAGGGAGGAGCCTCACCTGCTGAGGGCACCCCGGGAACAACCCTGGTGTGTTTGCAGAGACCCTGGCAGGACAGGCAGGAGTGGACACGCACGGGGCCGGGTGCCAGGTGGGCTGTGCCAGGACGGAGCATGCACCAAGCTGTGTGCCAGGCACGGGCTCAGCATGGGGCTGGCACACACAGGCCTCCCCACCAAGCTTCAGCATGGATCAGGGCTGGGATGCAGTGCTGCCAGGGGGCAGTGGCTTGGCCATGTGCTTTAGGGAGGGGTTGCAGTTTTTGGAGATCACTGCACTGAGGTTCTATGTGCGTGACACACATGGTGACACACCAGGGCTGTCCCCTGCGCACCAGGGCTCTCGTGCCCAACTGCCCAGACAAAATGGGGAGTTTTGGCTGATCTGTTGTGTTGTGCTTTCAGGATGGGAAGGAGTTCGGAATTGGGGAGCTTGTCTGGGGGAAGATCAAAGGTTTTTCCTGGTGGCCTGCGATCGTCGTGTCCCACAGAGCCACGGCCAAGCGCCAGGCAGTGTCGGGCATGCGCTGGGTGCAGTGGTTTGGAGACGGGAAGTTCTCTGAGGTAAGAGAGAACTTAGACTCTGGTTTGGCCCAGCCCAAAACACCCTTCCCTGCACGTTTCTGCCCCACTCCCGAGGCTGGCTGTGGGGGTGGATGTGCTCCTGCAGCCTCCCCTGCCAGTGTTAAGCATGGCCAGGCCCTGGCAGGTTCTCATGGCTCTGGTGTCTGTAAGTAATCACTTTTAGGTTGGTGACAGCATCCAGACTTGGGGACATCTGCCTGGCTACTTCCCAGCATTTTGGCCATGCTCCAGATCTTTCCCTGTCACTCCCTGCCTGGGGAGGGATGTCCCCTCAGAGCCTCTCACAGAATCAGTGTATCCTGAGTTGGAAGGGACTCACAAGGATCTTCAAGTTGCACTCCTTCCCTGCACAGCACAGCTCTAAAATCCCACTCTATGCCCAAGAGTGTCATCCAAACACTCCTTGAGCTCTGTCAGAATCCTGCCATGACCACTTCCCTGGGGAGTGTGTTCTAGTGCCCAGCCAAGAACCTTTTCCTAATATCCAATGAGGATATTTCCTATATCCAACGAGGATACCAACCCCTCCCACGCTGCAGCAGGAGGGAGGAAGTGCTGTGATGGTGTCACACCAGCAGTGCCGGCAGAGGGTGCAACCCACCCGTCCTTGTCATGCTGCTGCTCTTGGCAAAGCTGCCACTGGGCTCCTCCTGTGGCCACAGTGCTTGCAGCTGGGGACTGCACAGTGCTGGGGGATATGGCCCAGCAGGGCATTCCCATCTCACAGCTGAGGTCTTGGTGCTCTCTCCCAGGTTTCTGCAGACAAACTGGTGGGACTGATGGCCTTCAGGCAGCATTTCAATTCCTCCACGTTCAACAAGCTGGTGTCCTACCGCCGTGCCATTTACCACGCTCTGGAGGTAACCACCAGGGGTGGGTGAGGAGGTGCCAGCTGAACCAGCTGGGCTGGGGGGCCAGTGGGATGGGATGCAGTAAAACCCGCCATTCACTGCTGAGATTATTTCCAAGTGCAGCTGTGAGGCCAGGCTCTGCTTATCCTGAGGGTTTGGGGGTAGCTGCGGCTGCTCCAGGGTCTCACTGCTCCAGAACCCAGGCCAGACTCCCTGCGAGGGCTTGGATGTGGCAGCATCATGGCAGCAGGGCAGTGCCAGGCTGGCCAGAGGTGTCCCAGGCCAGTGCAGGATGCCCTTTGAAGTGCAGACCCACAGGCACCTCTTCTGCCTTTTCTTGTTGCTGCTTGCCATGGAGCAGAATCTGGGCAGGAGCTTTGGCTGGGCTGTCCCTGCTTCTGGCTCAATTGGGGCTGGTGGAGGACAGATGGGCTCATTGCAGGGATGGAGGCATGGGGCTGTGGCCAAGGGCACACCCAGAGTGGGAATCCATACAGCTGCCACCATCCCAGGGCCACTAAGCCCTCTGTGTGTATGTGTGTGTGTGCTGGGTGGGGAGGGGGCCGGGGGCTGTGGCCCTGGCAGGCTGTGGCTGCTCCCCTGACAGAAACCACCCTGTCACCCTGTCCCCTGCTGCCCATCCTCCTCAGGTGGCCCGGAGCCGGTCGGGGAAGACGTTTACAACTGGCCCCAGGGAGTCTCTGGAGGAGCAGCTGAAGCCCATGATTGACTGGGCAATCACTGGCTTCAAGCCCCTGGGGCTCAAGGGACTGCGGCCACCCAAAGGCTCAGGTGAGGTGGTGGCATCAGCTGGCTGGGGGCTGCTGGGGGCTGGCATGGGCAGTGGCCACTGGGGGCTGCCCCTGGCTGAGCCTGCTCACCCTGTGCTGTGGCCATGCCAGTCCAGTCCTAAGGGGATCCTGGGGCTTCTCGCTGGGACCCTCGGTGGCATTGCAAAAAGCTGGAGCACAGCACCCTCCAAGCCCCATGGAAATCACATCTGGCAGAGCCTTGTGCCATGTGTGAGGATCTGGGTGGCCAGGAAGGGTCCTGCTGTGGCTGGGGTGAGACCTGGCAGGGCTTGGCAGGTGTCCTGAGGCTGGAGGCTTGTCCTTAAGGAGGTTCCTTTTCCTTGCAGAGAATGGGGTGCTGAGGAATGGGACAGAGGAGATGGTGTCCCTTGAACAGTGTCCCCCCACCAAGAGGCTGAAGACCTACCCCTGCAACAGCAGCAAGGAGCAGCGTGTGGAAGAGGACCAGACCCGAGGTAACCAACAGAGAGAGCTGGGGAGTGGCTTGGCCTGGGCTGTGCTCCCCAAGAGCGCTGGGAAACCATTCTGGCAAAGGGCTTGGCTCTTCCCACGAGCCATGAGCCTGGTTTCTGAAGGCAAAAGCTTTTGTGGTCTGGTGGTGCTGACTTGTGCCTTACAAGACACCAGCAAACGCAACTGCAAGACATGGGCTGGGCCCCACCAGCTTGGAGCATGTGCTGCTACAATGAGCTCTAATATCTCCATCAGTGAAAGGATGGGGGCTTTGCACCAAAGTCTCTCAGCAAAGCTGGAGTAGTTCTAATGCAAGAAATAAGGCACCTGTAAGCAGAGTGCATTTAAAGTTTGTTACACAAGGAATGATATGTCTTTTTTTTCTTTTTCTTCTCAAATTTATAAAGAGCAAATGGTTTCTGACGTTACGAACAACGGCGGGAAGCTGGAAGGTAAACACTGGCCCTGCCTTTCCTTGAAAGAGGTGTGAGGTGCTGGGGGTGCCCAGCAAGGGTCGTGGGTCCCTTTTCAAATGCACCATGTAGGAGGGGGGAAAGTGCTGAGGGGGACAGGGTGCTCAGGGGAACGAGATGCTCAGGGAGGGACGGGGTGCTGAGCAGGTCCTGCATGGGTGCCACAGCCACATCTGGATGCAGTTCCAAGGACAGGCCCCATTTGGGTGTATTTTTGAGGGCAGGCTTTATCCTCCATGCCTCTGCAGCCTGTGGTGGGGTGTAAGGGGGCCCTGCCCTGGGTGCCCCCTGCCCTGGGTGAGTGCAGCTCTCTCTGTCCCACAGACAGCTGTTTGTCCTGTGGGAGGAGGAACCCGGCCACCTTCCACCCACTGTTCAAGGGGGGCCTCTGCCAGACATGCAGGGTAAGTGCTGCTGTGCTGGGCCTGAGTGGGAGCCTGGGAGAGGATGGGGCTGGCCATGCTTTGTCCCCCATACTGAGGGGCTGTCCCTCAGTGTGTCCTCACCACCTTGAAACACTGAGGATTGCACCTCCAAAATCTCGGCGTGTACTGAGAATGGAGCAAAGCTGTGTTTTCCATTGTCTGAGCACGGCTCCTGATCCTCTGTCCTTCTCTGCTCCTGATGTCCTTTTGCTAGGATAGATTCCTGGAGTACTTCTACATGTATGATGAAGATGGGTACCAGTCCTACTGCACCGTCTGCTGTGCAGGCAAGGAGCTGCTGCTCTGCAGCAATGCCAGCTGCTGCAGGTGAGCCCCATGTCTCTGCTCCTGGGCTGAGGGCCTGGCATCATTCCCAGGGAGCTGCAGGAAGCAGAGTCCTCCATGAGCCTGGGCAGGAGCTTGCTTCTCTCCAGTTGGCTGCCATGCAGCATATTGTGACACAGCCTACTTGCCCTTACTGAGCCAGGTATCACCTGAATAAGCCCTGTGGAGGTTGGCAGGAGACTTACCCATGCCTTGGTCACCAGCTTGTGGTAGCAGCCCTAAAAACCAGGGTACTGCCTGGAAAAATATCCTGTAAAATGGTGGGGGCTCTGGTCCATGGCAGGGGAGACTCCAGGAGAAGCTGTGGTGACCCAAAGGGATTGCTGGGGTGACAAGCACAAGCTGTTGTGGTTCGGGCAGGTGCTTCTGTGTGGAGTGCCTAGACGTGCTGGTGGGGCGAGGGACGTCAGCCAGAGTGAAAGAGCAGGAGCCCTGGAACTGCTACATGTGCCAGCCCCAGCAGAGCCGCGGCGTGCTGCAGCGCCGGCAGGACTGGAACACGCGCCTGCAGGACTTCTTCACCAGTGACAAGGGACAGGAATATGTAAGGGCTGGGGGCAGGGAGCTGATGTGCTGGGATGTGGGGAAGAGGGTCACTGAGGGCAGGGTGAGCTACCTGGATTTCCTCTTCCCTCTGCCTTGGTCTTGTTCACCCAGCCTTTCCAAGGGTGCCAGGCTCTTGGTCCTGCAGATGCTCTCCTGAAGGTGGAGGTGCTGCATTCAGAGCCTAATGGGACAATGCAGCACTCCCAGGGCTGGGGCTTCATGGCTGTCTCCATTGCAGGCTGCACCCAAAATCTACCCAACAGTTCCTCCAGCGAAGAGGAGGCCAATTCGAGTGCTCTCGTTGTTCGATGGGGTGACAACAGGTGAGGCAGTAGGGAAGCACTGCTGGGCAGCTCTTAGCACTGGGCATTGGGGATGAATCATTCTGTGGGCTCAAACCTCTCTCTAAAAGCATGGTGGGGAGGAGGGGGTGAAAACAGGGAGATCCCCATCAGAAAAGGGATGAGGGCAGGGTTTCCCTTTCTTGCTGGAGAGGGTTGTGGAGGAAAGGAGGGATGGAGGGAGGGCATGGAAAGGGAAGGGATGGAGGGGAGGGCATGTGTGGGCCCCTCACAGAGGTGTTCCTGCTGTGCCAAGTGTGATCTGGGGTGGCTGGTTCCCTTGAGAAGCCAGAGCTGTGGGACACCAGTAACCTGTACCCTGAAGTGCCTGAGGGCAACTGGTTTGGCTCAGTTCACTCAGCTCTGGCATTCGCCTTTCTGGGAGCAAACCTGCCTGGAGGAATGGGTCAAATAAAAGTTGACTCACCCTGAAGTGCTGTTTGACTACACCCACATAGGACATCCAGGAGCAGCCTCATCGAGCGGTGCTGACGAGGGAGACTTGGAGGCTAAAGAGAGCAGTGCCACCTCAGACCTCTGTCCGTTGGCAGGGTACACGGTGCTGAAGGACTTGGGCATCCAGGTGGAGAAGTACATTGCCTCAGAGATCTGTGAGAACCCCATAGCCGCGGGCAAAGTGCGGCCCGAGGGCAACATCACCTATGTGCACGATGTCAGGAACATAACCAAGAGAAATGTGAGCTCTGCTGCTGTGGCAGCCTGAGGGACAGGGCACCGTGGGGGCATGAGTCTCACTGGAACAAGTTTGTGCCCTGCCCCATGGGGAGGAGAGACCCATTTCTGTGGCATTCCCTAACGGTCTGGGCTGTCTGTTCTCTGTAGATTGAGGAGTGGGGTCCTTTTGACCTGGTCATCGGTGGAAGCCCCTGTGATGATGTCTCCCTTGTCAATCCAACCAGGAAGGCTCTGTTTGGTAAGGCTGCTCTGCTCTGCTGGGCTGCATACCTTGGGATGGTCCTGGGCTGTGAAGCCACTTTATGGGTGGTGGTTCAGCCCTGGGCTGTATTGGTGATTGGCTGTCTCCATACCCATCTTGGGGAGGGCAGCCAGGCCCCCCCATCCCCAGAGCCCCAGCTGGTGCCAACCTGTCACAGACATGTTTTATGAAAAATCCTTTCCTTAAGATTTTTTCTTCTGAGAAGCTGAGAGGCCTCAAGAACAAAATGTAAACAATGATTATCTGCTGCTGTAGAATGCAACAGGTAGATCTGTGATTGTTGTAGTTGTAGTAGTTGTTTCTAATTAATGGCCAATTACAGTCCAGCTGTCCAGACTGTCTCGGTCAGTCACAAGCCTTTGTTATCATTCCTTTTCTATTCTTAGCTAGCCTTCTGATGAAATCCTTTCTTCTATTCTTTTAGTATAGTTTTAATATAATATATATCATAAAATAATAAATCAAGCCTTCTGAAACGTGGAGTCAACATTCTCGTCTCTTCCCTCATCCTGAGACCCCTGTAAACACCGTCACACCAACCTGCTGCTCGGCTCTTTCCCCACAGAAGGAACTGGGAGGCTGTTCTTCGAGTTCTACCACCTGCTCAACTACGCCCGTCCCAAGGCAGGCGAGGAGCGGCCCTTCTTCTGGATGTTTGAGAACGTGGTGGCCATGAGGATCAACGACAAGAGGGACATTTCCCGGTTTCTGGAGGTAGGGATTGCTGACAGCTGTGGGAAAGGCCTTGGAGCAGGTGACATTTGCTGGGCTGTGCAGGGTGTGCCGGGTGTGAGGGTCTGGCTATGGTTTCCTGTGGCCCTGATGCAGGAAAACCCCCTGCGTGGTGCACATGCCAAGGAATCAAGTTTAGTCTTGGCTCTGGATCCTCCCCTCTGGCTTTCATCAGGTCAAGCCCAAGCACAAGTCCTCTGGGGGAGGGGTTTTGCCAGCATTGCAGAAAGCATCTGTTCCCAGCAATGTCTGTTATTTCTAGGGAGAGGGGGGTCAGGGACTGGGAAGGAGGTTTAACTCTGTGGTAGCCAGGATGGGTTGTGGGTCAGCAGGGACCACTGGTGTAAAATCACAGTTGAAGGCTGATCCTGGTCCATGGGAACCAGCACTGAGCACCCCGTGATGGTCAATAGCTGCTGGCCGTAGCCTGGCAGCTCATGTGGCCACCCAGGCTTTTCTTTGGTGTGAAACAGGGTTTGTGGGAGCTACAACATTTTGAGGATTTCCTGATGACTTTTAAGTCCCTGCAGTGCAGTGGGAAGGGCTGTTCATGCAGGAGAGAATCAAGCCAACATTTCCTCTAACTTTTTTTCTCCCTCTTTTTTGGCTCGCAGTGTAACCCAGTTATGATTGATGCAATCAAGATATCAGCTGCCCACCGAGCTCGTTACTTCTGGGGCAACCTCCCTGGGATGGACAGGTAATCAGTCAGTCTGCTGTCCTTGGATCTCTCACATTGGTTTAGGTTTGTTTTGTAGTGCCCATTCGGGTTTTTTTGTCTCCCTGGCTCTAAGCCCAGCTCCTGGGAGCAAGAAGCCACAGCTCCCGCATGGGGCAGCTTCCCTTCAGCAATGTGCACATGATAATTTATGCTCTTACTAATAAGCAATGATGAGACCACGGGGGAGAAGTGTAGCAGCATCCCCTGCCCTGGCCCTGAGGGTTTTGGAGGGAGGAGTGATGGGGCTTGCTCAGGATGCTCTGGTGGGTCTGGCTGGGGATGCACATGTGGACTGCCTTTGGGGTCAGGCCCAGGCTGATGTGGGGTGCTGTATGGCAGCCCTGTGCCCCAGACAGTGCCATGGTTATGGGTTTATGGAAGGAACTGAGTGGCTGCTGTGGCTGTGGTGGGTGGTGTGGGGGAGCTCACACCACAGCCAGCAGCTGCTGTGGCAAAGCATGAGTGCACCCTGCTCCTTGCTTCACACCCTGAATTCATGGCAAAACACAGCAGAAGGACTGGGAGCAGATAAATCCAATTACAAGCAGCCCATTACACCAAGTATGTGTGACAGAACCTAAAGGTTTTGCACTGTGGATGTTTCTGGCCAGCAAACACAAGACTGGGGTTAAATACTTTTGCTTGCTTATATTTAAATTGCCAGCATTTGTTGGAGTTAACACTGAGCTAAAGGCATTTGTAAGTAAAATAACAATTCCAAGCCTTTGTCATGTGAAATGGCTGTTGGACTTTCATCTGTCTGATTGTAAGGGAAGTGCCCAGCCCATGACTCAGAGCTACTCAGTCCTATCTCCATGGAGTAGCCCTGGGGCAATGCTTGCAGAGGTGCTACTGAGCAGAGGCAGGCTGGATGCCCAGGCACAGGAGCCTCGCCAGGAAATCCTACAAGGTGCAGGGCACTGGGGATGGTGGGAAGCCCCATCCTGAACTGCTTGGGTTGTGTGGGGCTGGAGAGCTGAATCCCCTCCCCAGAGGAGACTCCTGATGCTCACTGTCTTTGGGTGGCCTGGGAGCAGGGCTGCCCAGGGAAAGGGATTCCTGCTCTGCCTCACCTGCCCTCTCCTTCCTCTGCTCCTCAGGATCTTTGGCTTTCCCCTGCCCTACACGGATGTCTCCAACATCGGCCGCGGGACTCGCCAGAAGCTGCTGGGGGGCTCGTGGAGCGTCCCTGTCATCCGGCACCTCTTCTCCCCACTCAAGGATTACTTTGCCTGTGAATAGCAATTGGAGCGTCCCTCGTCTCTCTGGTAATGATGCACAGCACCGCTGCTGTGGCGGGAGAGGGACGGGCACGGCCACCGGGCTGCCAGGGCCCCGTCCCTCCCCAGGGATGGCAGCCTGGGAGAGCCGAGGAATGTCTGTAACCAAAGAACCTGGCAGGGCAACTTCTGTAAAGGGACTAACAGTGATCCGTAGTAGGAAATGATGGACACGAAGCTTTAATTACCCAGCACACGAAGCTCTATGCATCGCTGATGAGATGGGAGTCTCATCCTCCAGAGCATTAACTATTCCTGTTTAGCCTGGAGCTGGGAAGTCACCACTTGCTGAGCAGCCAGTGTGCGGGCAGCTGCTGGGGAGCTGCAGGCAAACCTGAACTACAGTGAATTGGTGCTTTTCCTAAACAAACAAAACCTCTTGAAGTAACTGCCAAAAACCCCCAAACCGTAGCAGCAGGTGTAAGGGACCCTGCTCAGGTTACACACTGAACACAGGATCAAGAAACCAAATCTTTTTTGTTTTTATTTTTTTGATAAAATTTAATTTTGTTGTTTTGATGTCTATTGCTGCTTTAAGGCATTACATAAGAATGTGGAGATTCCTAGACCTGAATGTAGCTGAAACTGAACTGTGAGGTGATAGAATTACTTTTCTAGCTAGAACTAAAGAAATATTGTTTTATATGTTGTAGTTTACAAATATTCACTACTTCATTTTTAAAGCATCTAAAACCTCTCCTTACATTTTAAAATCCTGCTGAATGGTTTGAAAGCTTACGCAGTAACTGGAGCAGGGAGGATTTGGGCTCCAGGGTCTGTAAAGGAAAATATTCTTGGAGCATCCATCTCCCAAAAGAATGTGGTATGTCAGCAGGAAGGACAGTGTAATGGTCAGTGGCACCCTCTAATCTCAGCACCCCAAATGTCACGTAGGATGTCATGAACCCAAGCAGTGGTGGCAGGGCATTCCATCCAGGGAAAATCCCACCCAACCCTCATGGAGTGCAGGGACCAGGAGTGCAGCACTGCTCTTGCCTGTGCCCATCTCATGCTGTGCCCAGGGAACAGGACAGTGAGGCAGGAAAGCGCTGCCACTGCTGGGAGCTCTGGGCTGTACTCTCCTCCCATCCCTGTGCACACAGGTGGGATTGTGTGCCCAGCCTGGCAGCGCCCTGGGGGCTCCAGGGGCTGTACCCCCAAACTGGGAGCTCCTGTAGCCACCGCTGATTCGCTTTTGATTGCCTTCCTCTACTCCCCATCTTTGCTAGAGTGATTATCATGCTTTCCATGAAGTCCTGGGCACGCTGAGCCTGTGGACCAGCAGGTGCCCATGGCCATTTCCGCCAGGTTTCCTGTAGCCACCAGGCTGTTCCAGCAGGCATCTCTGGGGATTCTGAATGCCAATGCACATTTCAATGCACTGAAACCACTCCCCCCTTGGTCCCTCTATCTTCCCCTACCTCTGCTGTTCACCTGCCACCTGTCTCTGGAAGAGCCTTCCCAAAATGATTCAGGTTCAAACCGTGGGCCAGCCCTCCACCCAAGCAATGCCAGGCTGCCTTGCTCTCCTGCAGGGTGCTGTACAGCATCACTGGGAAGAAATTCTCTCCCAGCTCCTTCTACCTCTCTGGCACCCCTGTCCTTGTGGTGGAGGACAGCAGCCACCCATTTTCCACCCTTGTGTGCAGTTTTCCATCCCAGCTCTGAGAACCAACTTCTCTTGGTCTCCAATCTAAGGCTGTGCTTGGGAAGCAAGGGAACAGCAAGGGAAGCCTAGGTAGTTTAAAGGCTTTTTTCCCCCTGTTTTAAGCTGGAATGAGAGAACTCCTTGGGGTTTCATTCTCGGTGACTTGTTCAAGCCACATGCCTTAGTTAAAAAAATTCTGAGGAAAGCCAAGCAGGCTGGTCCAAGTCACTGCTGGCACCTCCAGTGCTTGACAAGTGCTTGGGGACATGGTGCACCCTCTTGCCACCAGCCCCCGGACTGGGAAGATGGCAGGGCGGGTTCGGTGCGTGCTGGAGGTGTTTGGGAAGCCTTGGCACTGCCAACACTGCACCAGCTGCTTTTGGACTCTTTGCCAATCTGTGGTCCTTGTGTCCAGCTGGACCCCAGCCACAACACTAATTCCTCATCCCAGGTCCTTGCAGTCCCCGTTTGGAGCCCAGCATGGGGCATGAGGGCAAACAACCATCAGTGCAGGGGCTCAGGGTGACAGCCATCCTCTGCTCTGATGGGCCTGATTCTTCCAGACTGGGCCAACACGCGCCCTCCACTCCATGGCATCCCTGATCTTACATACTCCAGATCTCACATCCTTTCCTATCTGATCAAAAGGAAAACAAATAGATGAGGGGAAAAAAGGACTTGGGGAAAGTAAACAAAGATAAAAGAGGAATGAGAATTGTCTTGGCATTAAGCTCTCTTGATGAGAATTGCAGTAGACAAGTCTTCCTTGAAATGTTTTTCCCTGTAAGAGCTGCCTTTTATTTTGAGCTTATAAAATGTTAAGGGAGGGGGATCTCAGAAATTCCTTTTAAATACTTTTTAAAGGTTTTTAACTCTCCCTGGTGCTATTTTTTTAGGGTAAGGATTTCTAATGTCGAACATGCTGCGCGTTTTTATAAAATCTTTTAAAAATAAGAGAAATGTATCATTTTAAACACATTTCACAGTTTTTGTATCCTGGAGTGTGGAAACTCACAACTCTGCCTTGTCCACATGATTTCACTGGTTTCCATGTGGGAAAAAAATGTCGACAGTTTACCATTTATCAAGTCTGATTAAAAACGAGTATTTCTGTATGGCTGGACAGTCTTATTGGGGGAAGTAAAGGGGGTTCACAGTGGGAAGATGGGCACAGCCAGGGACCTGAGCTGCCCCTCTCCTGCTGCCGCTGAGGTGACACCAGTGACACCAAGGTGGCCGGGGCTGGTGTGGCAGGAGAGCTGGAGCCATGCTGGGCTCTGCCGCTGGTTTGGGGTCGGTTTGTGCCGCTGGGTCCGGGGCCGGGCTGTGCTGGGAGTTTGGGGCCGGGCAGTGCCGGGGGTTCAGGGCCGGGCTGTGCTGGGAGTTCGGGGCCCGGCTGTGCCGGGGGTTCCCGGGCCGGGCAGTGCCGGGGGTTCAGGGCCGGGCAGTGCCGGGGTGTCCCGGGTCCGGCCGTCCCGGCGCTCGCGGCCGCGGCGGATCTGTCGCACCCTCAGACCCGAGCCGGGCGCGACCCTCGGGCACGCGGGACCCCCGCTGTGGGCGGGGCCAGCGGCCTCGGCCAATGGCAGGCGAGCCGTAGGGCGGAGTGGGCGCGGCATCTCCATAGCAACGCAGCAGCTCGCTCCGCCCCCTGACAACCGTTTCCCGCCCCTTGGCGGCGCGCGGCGCTCCCCGCGCGGACCGTGACGTGCGCGTGACGCAGGCGCGCAGCGAGCGCGTGACGCGGTCCCGGTCAGGGCGGGCGGGGCCGGTTTGAACGCGGGGCCGACGGGGCGAGCGCGGCGCAGGTACCGGGCCGGGACCGCGGCGGGGCCGCCGGGCGGCGGCGGGGAGGGCCCCGGGCTCGGGGAGCGGCCGGGCGGGGCGCCGCCGCCCTGAGGGCATCGGCGCGAGGCCTGCAGGGCCGGGCCGCGCCCCTCGGCGGGCGGAGGTGCGGCAGGGACCGGGGGTGGCGGGGCGGAGGGACCGGCGGGGGGTGGTGAGGGGCAGGAGCGGGGAGAGCGAGGGCCGTGCCCCGCCCGCAGCGCGGGCGGCCCTGCCCGGCGGCAGCTGCACCGGCGGCTCCGCTTTGTGCCGGCGGGGCTGGGCGGGGAGCGGCCGCTCGGTATTGATCCCCCGGGAGATACCGTGGCCGCGGAGGAAGCGCTTCGGCCGTTCCCGGTAGCGCGGGGGAGAGGGATGAGTAACTTGCCGCAGCCGTGATTCCTTTCAGCGGTTCCCACGTGAGCGCCTCGGTGCTCATTTTTCCTCCGAAATGCCGGAGCCGAGCCCTCGGCAGGGCGGTGCGGGAGGGTCCTCCCAGCTGTTGGCAGCCCGCGATTCACTCGCTGGGGCTCGGGAAGGCTCCAAAGGAAGCGGCTCCACCGCAGCCCCGCGTCTGTGGCGCTCACACCTCTGGTTGTGTCTTTCAGAAAATGGCAGTGAATGTGTATTCTACTTCAGTGACCAGCGATAACTTGAGCCGACATGACATGCTGGCGTGGATCAATGAGTCTCTGCAGCTGACGCTGACCAAGATTGAACAGCTGTGCTCAGGTAAGGGGGTTCACCCCGAGGCCACCTCCACGTGGGATGTGCACCCTGGTTCTGTAGAGGTGCGGCTGCACCCTCTGTGCTGCCCTGCTGCAGCTGTGTCCTGGCTTAGGTCCTGGTGTGAGCAGATTCGTGGTAAGGGTTATGATCCAGTTATGGTTGGAGTGTTATTGAAGTGGTTGTTAATAATGTCAGTGTAATGAAAAGGCACGTTCTCATGACTCACTACAGCATAGATGCTATAAGCAATGGGTGTTAATGTGAAAAAGAGATTCTGAGGAAGAGGGTGTTTTCCCATGAGGAATTAAGCATTTAGTCTGCGTGGATAGAGTAAGTCTTACAAGTGTAACTAGCAAAAACAATTGTGATTTGTTCTGGAAGAGTACTGGAGTGTGAGGAGGACAGGGCAGTGACTCGTGGGGTCATGTGCACCTTTAAAACTCCTCTTGGTCCTGGAGCACATCCAGTCTGTGTCAGCCCAGCTTACCTGGGCTTGAACTAACTTTAGCACAGCTGAATCTCATATCTGCTAGTAGGCAGGAAAGGGGAAGTGTCTGTGGTACAGAAATGGAGTCAAGTGTCATCGTAGGGAGGGAGTGTGTGGGAGGAGGAGGCTTGTAAGAACAAATAAAAGATAATAGTCTGTGGAATAAGAGCTGAACAAAACCCAAGGCTAAGAATGCAGCCTGGGTACAAGATAATTTGGATAACTACAACAGGCAGTCAGTGAAAAGTGGAAGTTTGGCTCATGCAGTGACTTTAGGAAAAAGTGTTGGTCATGGAAGGAGAGATGTGGAAATTAGAGATGAAATAAAAGGAGGAATTAATTAAAAGTGAGTTTTTGGACTGTCAGTTCTGGCTGTGGCTGAGTCTATGGAAGAAACAGTCCCAAAGATTACAGAGAAGCAAGGGACTCACAACAGGTATTTGTAGTGGTTTTTGTCTAGTGAGAGGATGGACAAGAACTGTAAGGGTGAGGGAACTAAAGACCTAAGCCCCAGGAGGAAGGGAAGTGATAAGCACTGTCTGCTTTCAGATAGGCAGGTTAAGCCCTGTGGTGTGCAGGGTTGATTTGCATGGGATTGGTGTGAGCCTTGAATGCTGTGAGAGCTCTGTGTTGAAGTGAGGATAATTAGTACTGGCTCTGCAGAATTCCAGCTCACCTGTTTTTGAGAAAAGACTGAGAGCTGTTGATGTGGTATGTCCTGAGTAACGTCCCCTTTCTGCATCTGCAATAATGCTTCATGCCTTGGCAGGGATGAAGTGGCTTTTGCTGTCATAGTCCTGTGGAAGCTGGAGTTCCCAAGCTTGTTTTGCTGTCTTTGGCAAGGGCAGCAGTGACAGCAGCAGTTTGAGGTTGCATAAAGCACAAGAGCTGCCCTTTGACTGATGCTGTGATCCCTCTGTTTTCATCACGCTTATCGCTCCGACTGCCAATAGTGAGCAAACCCCTGGTTTCTGGCAAGTCCTCTGTGTTTGAGTTGGGATTGGAGCTCTGCAGCAAGTGAGCTGAGACACAATGGAGAGCAAACAGCAAGAGCTGGTTTGTTGTTTTTATTTTAATTTGCACCAGTGAATGACATCAGTCTTCTGGGAGCAGGTGAAAGTGGGAGCGCCTGTAAAGTATCTTGATAAGCGAGTGAACAGTTGTAGGATGTGGTTGAGATGAACAGAGTAGTTGAGGTCAGTGCTCTTCTATATTCCTTTTTGACCTTCAGATAGCTCCCAGCAGCTTGTTGTGTAGCTGTTGGATGGTTTAGGTTAGGGTTTTCTTTACTCCTTGATTCTTGGTGTGGGAATAATGCTCTGAATGTTGTGCTTGTGCTTTTAATGGTTGTGCATCATCACTGCAGAGTGAGGATCCACTTTAAAACCACTTTTTTTTTTATTGTGTATATTCTACAAATATAGAGGTG